TGTAACGGGTGGAGTAATGGCCGGTCGAAATTTTGCAAATTTTTCGGATATCGATTTGGATTTGTACTAAAATTGGATAAACCTTTCTTCCTTTTGGGGATAAAACTTTTTTCGCTTCGTAACTATTGTAGTATGACATCATGTTGGGTTCATTGTATTAAACTTCCTTGTGCCGCGATTCGCAATAAATGGGATCACAGAAAATTCTCAGTGCAAAACAGGATGCAGATAACGAATAAATATCGGATTTCTTTAGATAAGTTTTTTTATCATTGAGTCACCAGCCAAGCTTGGGAAAGCTGGTTCTGCAAACGCTGAAAAAATTAGTTGATAAGTATTCCCCAGTTAATTGGTTTAGATGGAGGCCATTGTATGAGAAGTACCAGTAATAAAAAAGATCAGCCATTTTGCAACGATTAAGGGGCGTGAATCTGTTAGGAGAGAGTTAAGAGGAAAAAATTTTTAAAAAAAGATTGGTACTGCATAGCCGGGCCGAAGAGATCGAAAATTTTCAATCGCGTGCATTAAGCACCAAATAAGTGATTCCGTTTAAGTGACGGTCGATATTAGTCCGAGTTTAAGTACAGTTTTGCACCATTAGTTAAAACGTGAAATTTCCATTGGGTAAATTTCACGCCCGAAGAGAAAAAGTAAATCGCGGAATCTTAGTTAAAAATTTGTCAAGCGCATTGTGCTAGGAAATCATCCACGTAGTGTTGAAATTAAAATTAGACGTGGACATTACGTATCAAATATAAAGCGCTAAGTAAATTCGAGCGATAATAGCTGTGTGATATGAACCATTGTTCTTAAAGGAAAATAATACGAGCGCATTTTTTGGCATCTATCCGACGGAACAAATTTGAACGTTTCACCCATTTGCCGTTGTGTTAAAATTTACTATTGCGCCTCCTTGGAATATAACCATCAAAGTTTTTTAAGTGTGGATAGCCGTTTTCATCAAAGTAATGTGCTTTAAAAGTTCAATGTAATAGTTTGTTATGAAAAAAACTTCTTTAAATCGACCAAAAAATCAGGCAAATTAATTCACGAACTTACGCAAGATAAGGTGTTTACATCAATAAAATTTCACTGTGGGATTATACCTACAAAACTACATGTTTTTGGAAAATCTCGTCTACCTTCTACAAGGAAAATAACCTACTCAACAGCGAGCCAAGGATTTTTCAACTGTAATCATCAGCTATATAAAAAAAAAAAAAAACAATCGACGACGTAAAGTTGGCATTCCAAAAGTTGCAGTCTACCCCATCCATCAATCAACTAGCATGTAAAGGGCTTCCCAATCTTCATCGAAGTCCTGGATTTTTAAAGGTTAGTCTATTTTGAATATTTTCATTGTAATAAAAATAAAGTCAATTTGTGTGTATTTATATGTTTTATGATATGTTTTAATCGATTGTTTATTGAATCAATTTCCTTAAAGAAGGTAATTAATTATATTTGAAATAGTGGAATTTGTGTCAAGGAAAATTCAGTATAAAAAATAATATTCACCTCTTCAAGGGAGAGAACATATTGTGAGTTGGCCAACAGAACTAATAATATTCAAATTTTTGGATAGCTTAATAAGGTTTTAGTCATAGTTCCCAATTTTTATAATATTGATTGTAAAGATCGCAATTTTCTGGAATGCATTGGATTTTGCATTAAAATAAATGAATGAAATTATGGCCATTGAGTTGATGATTTTTCAACGAGAAGTTAGATGAGAAGTAGAGTAATTAACACCAGTAAAAAGTGAATTAGATACCTGATTTTTCGATGGAAGTAAGACAGTAGAAATTTTGTGTGTAAGTATTTGAGCTAGTCGGAAGCGAGGTAAAGATTTTGTGATTTTATTAAGAATTAGCGAATTTTGGTGAGATAAGCTATCCAAAAGGGTTGATGAGGTGAGAGAGGAGAGAAGGGAGAAGCGGGTACGTGTACCTGAGGTGGTTGTGTTTATCCGTAAAAAGAAAGCACCGCCACAAAGGTGCGTGAACCGAGAAACCGCGTAAACCTCAATCGATGAGAGATACAAGAATCCTCGACTAAATTAATTCCGCATCTTGCCTTGTGTAATAATCTAAGCAGTGTTGTGCAAATACAAATTATTAGAGACCTTTATAGTTTGTCATTATTTATTTATTGCTTAGGGGATACGCTTGGGGCTATTAAAGTAAGCGTTATTTTATGGTGCCAGAGAAATGTGCGATCATTAAATTTGGAATATGTCGCTTTCGCAGCAAAATTATGTGATGGCGTATTAAATTTTAAATGAGTTGTGAGAATTGCCCATTTCATCAACGAAAATTATCCGACATAATCTCTGATTCAAGTTTAATAAAAGTATTTGGAATATGTATCGAAATAAATCCAACGTGTAGTTGTAAATAGGCCTGGTAGAGTTTATGCTCACTCTTTTCGTTGATTGAGCCCTTAATTTTCGAACTACTTACGAACGAGCGATAAATAACAGTACTCGAGGCCGAAAGTCCACGGGAACGCGGATAACTTAAGAATTTTAACCAATCAAATTTCTTCATTTTTTCAACTAAATAGAGGTGAGTCGGTCGTGCGGTCGTAAGTAAAAATTATAGTGATTTTATTCTCTAAAATTAGCTAACGTATATCAAGGTTTCGCGTTCGTATTTTACAAGTACTTCGCGTGCTTCAGCTCGGAAATAAAATTAACTAACGATGTAGTACAAAATGAATTCTCTCATCAGAGCGTAATTGCAAATACACAATTCAAAAAATACTAAGGCCGAACATTAAATAAATACATAATTGAGAAATAAATTGAACAATAAATTGTATGTAATTATTCAAATGAAATCGCCTTTATTATATTCTTTGTTAAATACATTGCCCTAATTTAAAAAAAAAAGTGAAAATTTAGATTATGATAACAGTTAAATGCGTCCACTTAACGCTGGTGGAAAACAATGTTCAATAATAGGAAAAAGTTGACAGTGGACAGTTACATTAAAACACTGGACACCTAATGCGTGTTTTTCAAGCAAAAATTAAACAGGAGGATAATCATTTAAACATGACTACAAGAAACCGCAGGGTTTCGTATACAGTCTCTCCGGGAAACTCGCTTCTCGCTCGTCTTCCTACAACGCTGTTCCTTCAGTAATAATAGCACTGGTAGTTTTCAACTCAATACAGAACTTTCGTAGTTTTCACTAAACTGTAAACGAGATTGAAAATTTTCGGGCCTGCCCCTAAGCCCAAAGTGTTAACTATTCTGCTCGCTTCACAATTTGTTCAGCTAAATGTTAAACTCGTTATCCCAAATCCAATCTAAATGTAAAACTTAGATTTTCTCATGCGTGCAGTTCGGTTCATTTTGTACGACACATTATTTCAATTTCGCCACGCACAGGCGTTGTATGCAAATTTTGATTACCATAATTTGGAAACGTAACGCATTCGCATTAAAAAAACGGATCCCATATCATTACATTAGGTAATTAGTTCTCGGGCTTCACGTGAGTAGTGGCGAAAATGCTGACTTCTAACAGTCTCAGATAAATAATAGATTACGTATCGCATCGTTTTAGGGATAGGTGTAAATAATTATTTATTAACTAAGTAAATTAATTTTATTAGCCTATGTTAAATTGATATTTTAATACCTTTAAAGGAGTCTCTCTTTAACGACAAGATAAAGCCATCACAACAAACAAATGATTGTACTGACGTAATTATGGCCTTAAGCACGAAAAAAATGGAGTTCAGAACAAAAATTGTTTCCACTAATTTTTAATTTCGGGTTAGTAATACTTCTTCACCATACCTTCAATGTACCTGCGATCAATAGAACTAGACGATTACTCTTTAAGGTTAAACTTTCGATTTAAGTAAGTGTGACTGAACTGTCTTATTTATCCCTGATCGTTTTATTGAATTTTAACAATTTACGGTAATTAGATTTGTATGTATTAATGGCTAGCTCAATTTGTGTAAAATACGCTAGCTGGGTTATAATATGAATTTGTTAGAATTTTATTTAGGCAGAATGCAGAAGAGGCGGATTCCATAGAGCTGCAAAAACTCTTCAATGCCTCCCTCTGGCGCCTCTTTATCATATACCCTTGGGTTTATCTTATAGGCCTCCCAATCGGCTATGTCCTTTGCCTTATTGAACAGTTTGCCCAACTGAGCTTTCTGCTGTCCGAGCGCCCTGCACCACTAAGGATGGTTATAGGGCGTTTTGGCAGTCCTCAGAGGACCTAACTGTTCAAATGACTCCACAATGGAGTTTGATAAGTAGATGTCATAGTCGACAGGAACCAAGAGACGTCCCCCGAAAGGGTGCTCTCTAAGTTTTTTTTCAAGGAGATTTTGTAAAAGGGAATATTCGTTACCTTGCCTTAATCCTTTTAGGCGACTCCCTTGCAGTTAATTTCAAATGAAATTATTATATGATCTGCCTTAGTCGCTTCTGGAGTGACTTGCCAGTTTGTTATGTTGTTGGAGATACTCGAGGATATCCGGAGGGAGAAAAACGCGACGCGGGACAAAAAGTGACAGTACACACTGAATTTTTCTTCTTGCACCATATTTTACACTTATTATACCGTTTTCCATAAATCATTTTTGATTTGGGAGGCAGCAAGTGTCCTTATAACTTCTTCTCCAAAGTTTTAAATGTTCATTTCTACGCCGTAGTTTTAAACTAGAATCTAAAAATCAAACTGACATTTATCGTTATAAGTACGGTCACAATTTGATATAAACTCGGAATTTTACAGTCTTGTAATGACGTCATTTTTGTCTATCCTTGTTTAACTAATGTAAAATGACAATGACAAAAAATTTTGCCGAAATGTTGTCGTGGCTAAATTTTACCTGAAATGCTTGTCAAGTGATTGTCAGTTTTGAAGTTTTGAAAAACATGCCGCCAAAAAACCCTCATCGATTTAACGAACAAACACAGTTAATAATTCTAAATGTGTTGGCTTTCTTTCAAATTGAACAGGAACAAGTTCGGAATGGCATACCACTAGACATCAACAATGTTATACAGCGAACTGCACAAGCAACGAAAGTCAGCCCAACAACCATTTCAAATTTGAGAAAAAATGGTGTAAAATCCGACAAAGATTACGCATCTAATGTCTCTACCAAGCAAAAGATTAACAAGACGAAAATCACAGAATATTTGAAGAATAAAATTCGGGATACAATCTATTATATTGTACTCCCAAAAGGAATATGTTACACTGGCAACTATTAGACAAAAATTTCTGGAGCAAAACGAATATTTTCAATTTTCCATTGATTCATTGAGAAAGTGGATCAAAAGTATGGGTTTTAAATGGAAGAAGTCCAATAACAGAAAATATCTTATGGATTTACCGGATATTGTCCACAAACGAATAAAATTCTTAAGGGAGTACATTGAAAACAAAAATTTGGGACATGAGGGTTATACTCCGGTTTTTATGGATGAAACCTGGATATTTAGTAAGGGATCATTTCGAAACAGCTGGCAAGATGATACTAAGCACACGGAATCAATTAAACCCAATGAAGGTAAAATAAGATATTATAATACCTTTTCAATATTATTAAAAGAGATATTCTTTAGGTCATCGATACATTATTGTCCACGCTGGGACGAACGATGGCTTTATTGGTGGGGCAAGTTTGATTTTTAAAAGTGGAAAAAAAACAGGGGACTATCATGATAATATGAACAGGGGTAATTTTGAAAATTGGTTCAAGACTCAACTGGTGCCAAATCTTCCTGAAAAATCTTTAATTATTATGGACAACGCAAGCTACCATTCTGGCCTTTTAGAGAAAATTCCCACCAAATCATGGACAAAACAAAGAATGATAGAATGGTTAGGGGAAAAAAATATCGGCTATCCAGAAAAGGCAATGAAGGATCAAATATGGAGCATTGTCAGCGCAAACTGCCCCAAAGAGAAAAAGTACTACCTTGATGAATATGTTAAGCCTTTAGGACATAAAATTTTACGGTTACCGCCATACCACTGCCAATTTAATGCGATTGAAATGGTGTGGTCTCAGTGTAAACAAAAATACGATCAGTACATTGCAAATTTTAAGGGATCACCACAAGAGGTTTTGGCAACATGGGAAAGGGTTATCGGGGAGATTTCTAGGGATAATTGGGAGAAATACGTAAACCATACGGACAAAGTAATACAAGAGGCTTGGGGAGCAGTACAAGTTTGTGATGCTTCTGACATCCCGCCTCTTGTTATCTACCGACGCAGATGACGACCTTACTGACGACGAATACTTTGATTTTGACTCTGACGATACGGACGAGGGCGACTAATTTTCTTCTAATACTGTGACCATTACAATCGCAATAAATTGGCATTGGTATATTTTTGTTTTATGAGTTTGATTTTCCAACTATTCATCAAGGTAGTGCAATTTTTTCTTGTGTAGATGTGATTTCGATAGTGGTTCTTTGAATTTTTATGTACTCCTCTGCTAATTATTTTTTGGGTCTTTTCGGGAGTATTGATTCCTAAATAATATTCTGTGATTTTCGTTTTGTTAATCTTTATTTATTTAAAAACCAAAATATGTTAATATTACTTATATGTTAGTTGAGCAAGTTATTAAAATAATTAGTGAGTAAATGACCTTTTTTGAAATACTAACATTTTATCCATCGCGGTTTCGCTCGCAAAAAATATGAACTATTCGCATTTTTTAACATGTTAAAAATTTATTTTCGATATCTTCAGTCGTTTAGGCTGTGCATTGATATCTCAGTCAGTCAGTCAGTTAATTACGACTTCTTCTTTTATTAAGACCTATAGATTTCTTGTGGAAATTGACTTAATTATTATCAAAAAATGCTAAAATATTATGTACACCACTGTATAGTAAAAGTCATACAGGTAATTAGACACCAGTACTCAGTTACTTAGCAACAAATAAATTTAATAGGACATACGTTTTTTCCCACGAAAATGACGTCATTACACGACTGTAAAATTCCGAGTTTACCAGGTAATGTTCCTACAATAATAGTTATTTGTTTCATTAGTACAAAAAATGTCAGTTTTCGGGACGAGGAAGATAGTTGCTGGACGGACGCGTTAGCGGAGTCCAGCAACCTTCCGAGAAATTTTGGTGCAGTCGATTTTTCTTTATAGAATGTGGCCTGTAGAATCCATAATTTCAAACAGTTCCAAAATTGGGCTACTAGTTCAAAAGTTACAGCCCTTTGAATTTTTTTTCGAAATTGGTTTCTAGTCTATAACTTTTAATTGAGAAGTCTGATCGAAAAAGTACGAATTGTTTTGGATTCTACGCACCAAAATTAATAAGAAAAAGTGTTTTTCCGAGAAATTTTGGTGTAGTCGATTTTTGGTAAAAAAGGAAGGTTATACACTGCCTTTTTTTGAGCCCCGAAAAAAAAATTTTCTCAGATCGACCCGGAAAAAAAATTTTCTTATAGAATGTGGCCTGTAGAATCCATAATTTCAAACAGTTCCAAGATTGGGCTACTAGTTCAAAAGTTACAGCACTTTGAATTTTCTTTCGAAATTGGTTTCTAGTCTATAACTTTTGATTGAGAAGTCTGATCGAAAAAGTACGAATTGTTTTGGATTCTACGCACCAAAATTAATAAGAAAATGTGTTTTCCCGAGAAATTTTGGTGCAGTCGATTTTTGGTAAAAAACTGGTCTGTGGTAAACTTCGTTCCAATTAAGAGGTATGGCTCTTTAATAACGCAAAACCGTAGGCGCAGATGGACGATATTTCAAATCTCATCAATCTGATCGTATTTTAATTAAGTAACTGACAATTGGTCCTGTATACTTATTACTTTCCATTCAGATATCTAGCATAATAATGGTTGTGGCACTATATCTCCGAAATTCCAATTATAAATTAGCAAATCTGAAGCCCTTAATTTACAATTTAAATAACGTCACGGATGACAGTTTCCCGGAATGTTACTAACAAGTGTGCTCGAACAGCTCCAATTTAACATTTCTAAATGTCAAGTGTGCATTGTACAATAGTGTTACGTAATAAAGGTCATGTCAGAGTTCGCGTAAACGCTTCTGATATTGGAGAACGCTCTCGAATAAAAGAAGATATTGCTCTCTACTGCTCTATTTCAATCGCCGAAATGAAATTACAAGCAATATTCTACTTCTGGCTCTATTTGCATTTACAGCTGGTATGAAGGCAATCGTAAAAATGTTATTGCCCGTGCTCTGATGCTGCCTATAAATTTTTTTTCGAAACTGATTTTTTTTTGTTTTACTTATGCAGAAATTTATACAGTCCACTTCGTTTCTCTGCCTATAGAAGTAAAACTCCAGGAAAAGCGGATTCGCTTACTTACGAGATTAGGGCGCAAGCGGATTTAATTGGTAGCGTGATGAGTTACAAATGTTGCAAAGACCCTTCTGTCGGTTTGTGGTTTGTCGCACGATAAGACTCGTTAATGCCGACCAGAAACTAACTTTTTAGTACCCGGAATGAGAAGCCCGTCTATTAAGACCGAAAGTAGATTAGTTTCAGTCTGATTTTTTTATTCATTTGTCACAGGATTCTGAATTCGCACATTTAAGTCTATTTGTAACGGCGATACGCGAATTTATTTCCCTTCACTTTTTTAATGAGTTGTTGCTACAAAAACCCTTCGCGTCCAACTTTTTTCCAAGTACTTAGGTACTCCCATTTTAGTCGAGTTGTTAGTGGTTGGGCATTCTATAAACTACCACTGTTACTCTAAGCGTTTCAAATTTTTTTTGTTAACCTCACTTTCGGTAGGTATTTCCGTAGATGTTTAGCACACAATAAACCTCAAAATTGGCCACATGCAGACAGAAATAATTTCACGTTGCAGTTTTAGAAACGAAAATTTGAAAACATGAGGGTGGAAAAGTAAAAAATATTAAAACTACAGAAGAAATAATTTTGAAATAAAAGCTACATAAGGAATGCACTAGTATGACGATTCTGAAACGAATTTGAACGTAACTTTAAATCTTGAAAAATTGCTTCAGCTTAAGATTTTAATTTTGAAATTTTGCAAATGAGTGGAGATAAAGAACCAACCTTCCACAAGGTAAGAGTAATTAAAGGTTTATTCTTACTGAGCTACTCTTGGCATTATAGCAATTAATTGTTACAGTAAAATGTTTACCAATGCCGTAGAGATTAAAATTTATTTTTTACAAGTGGAGTTTCCAAATATAACTAAGTCGTTACGGAAGTTTGGTTGCAAAGAGCAACCTTCGTACTTTCATTAAAGTCATCTAAAATTTAAAACGTACATTTTGTGCAAACTGTGTGCTAATTTTGCCGTATGATACAAGTTTTCTGCCATATTGCGGACAATGGCTCATTAAAGATCCAAATGACTCTTCTCTGTATCCCGCAGTGTCGGTCGGTATATTACGGATTAAAACGACAAAACGAATTTTGATAAAATGTATATTGATTCTGTTTCAGATATTATTTTTCGATTTTTCTCTTGTATTTCAGAATCTGTTCACTGATAGGAGGGATAAACCTTGTGAAGTGTTAACGAATGTGCTTCCATACGATGGAAATGCACAAATACTGCCACCTAAAACTCTTTTCCACTCATGCATTCTAGAACGTTATATTGTCCCTCTATTAAATGTGTAGTGCACCCAAAAGCAAAAGACTGTCTATGTCCCCCAAATTTCAAAGACTGGCCCCACATATTCAAATAAGTCTAAATAACACCACGTGCGGGTCCGTTAACTTGGCCCCCCCACTGAGAGATTTGATAGTCGTATTATTTTGAAATGAATGCGCTCGTTATGCGCTCATATGCGCCACCGATAATAACTCTTGCGCCATTATCGTTTTTTAGAAATCCGAAAAAACATTTGGGGGGGCCAAGTAAACGTAGCCCCCCCCCCCAGTACGTATTTTGTCCCTTATAACTAGGTCACCTGATACATTTGGTTATGCGCTCAATTGCGCCACTTGAATTAAAGCTAGCGCCATTACGGTTAAGCCGTGACAAATTTTCAAAAAGTGGGGGGCCAACTTAACGTTTTTAAAAGTTACTTTTTTTTAACATCTTTTCATACGAAATTGTACTCTCAGGTATGCGCTGAAATGCGCCGTAAAAAGATATCTTTGCGCCATTATTGTTTTTTGGATATCGTTAAATATATTTGGGGGGGCCAAGTGAACGGAATCCCCCATAACGCATTTTGCTACCGGTATTTGTGCCACTTGATACATCTGGTTATGAGCTCAATTGCGCCACATGAATTAAAGCTAGCGCCATTACGGTTAAGCCATAAAAAATTTTTAAAAAGTGGGGGGGGCTAACTTAACCTTTTCAAAAGTTACGTTTTTTAACATGTTTTTTTCTACTACATCGTACCTTTCATCATGCGCTAAAATGCGCCGTAAACAAAAATCTTGGCGCCATTATAGTGTTTCAGAAACACTATACAGGTTGTTTTTTTGGGAGCTTTAGTTAAACGATTCTGGGAAAGTAAAATAGGTAGGTTTTTAAAAATGTGTATTTAGGAGTTACTCCGAAGGCCGAATCGATGTAAAATATTTTCAAAATGGACGCACTTCCGGAAATAACTTTTGAAAACGCTAAGTTAGACCCTCCACTTTTTAAAAATTTTTATGGCTTAACCGTAATGGCGCTAGCTTTAATTCAAGTGGCGCAATTGAGCGCATAACCAAATGTATCAGGTGACCTAGTTACAGGGGACAAAATGCGTACTGGGGGGGCTACGTTCACTTGGCCCCCCCACAATGTTTTTTCGAATTTCTAAAAAACGATAATGGTGCAAGAATTATTATCGGTGGCGCATATGAGCGCATAACGAGCGCATTCATTTCAAAATAATACGACTATCAAATCTCTCAGTGGGGGGGCCAAGTTAACGGACCCACCACGTGCCGCTATCACACATTTTAAAATGAAGGTTTAGTTTCAGCACCAATGACGCTGTGGCAAGAGTACGGGATCATTTTGTAGTGTTGCGTACAATTTAGTGTTCGAAATGTTTTCGCCATCTCAATGAATGCTGTTCTCGAACCAATTTAGTTACTTGAGACGTTGATCCATCAATAAGAGAAAAGAGAGACAGTTTAAAGCTCTCAAATGCTTTAACAAAAAGAACGTCGATATCCCTTAACCCTGCTTTTGTTTGGTATGTTTTATTTACTACTCCCGAGAAACTTGTCGTAAATCCTTAAAAACCCACGCTTTAAGTTTCAACTTTAGACGGTCATTGGTTT